CATTACCAGCATTTTTCACTCTCAAAAGTGGTGATAATCCAGCGTTGTTTTGAAACCCTATACCAGGGTTTGGGGCATTGAGAGCGAGTGGATTACCACCGGGGACAAAAGCACTCCACCACTGCATGCTAATCTGGCCCCTATTGAAAAGAGGTCAGCAGTACACTGAGCCAGGTTCGTGAACAAAAGACAGTTACACAACACCGCCTTGTAAACAGAGCCCAGATTGTGATCTGGGCTCTGTTTACAAGGCTGCTGGCGTGGCTGAAATACTCAGGCGTCAATGAAGGCCACCTGTCAACTTACAGTAGTGCCTAAAGATTACTTGGTGCGGCTATAAACGACCGTTAAATGGAATGATGAATTTTTGAAGGATTTTGAAAATGGAAAAAATGATAGCCATGCCGGCCCAGCATCATCAACATTGAAAAATGCCCCGGCACGAAGTGGTTGAAGGGCATTATCTCAAAAAGAATGTGATAAAATGAAATTATATGAATAATGCAAATGACAAATAACTCCAAAATGCCACTGGGATGAATTACATATCAAATGAAAGCTTATGATATGAGCCATTTGATTTTATATATATAAAACTCAACTTCCAGAAAATGTGACATTTTTGCAGAGCCGGTCACATTTGTCCTTGCTTCCTTGCTGTGCAAAGCCAAAAAGAACCATACCCACAGCAAACAAAGCAATGACATACCCATAGCAATGACCACCGGCACTGGGTGCCCATGCATTCTGGTGTGTGCAATGTAGGAACTGTGTTGCAGTACATGTCACAAAGCCCCCGACCTACCGTCATTTTGGCCTTCTCCTTGGCCCGGTATTCTTCCAGCTTAGAGGCGGCTCGGTCCTCCAAGCGCTCCCGTCGTTGCTCTTTCTTCTGACGCTGGGCTGCCAGCTGCGATTGGATGTCGCTCCTATAACAACAGCCAATAGAAATGCTGAGTGAATCTCTAAGAAGAGAAGTCTCTGAGTGGCTTTTTAAGACTTTATTTGGGTGGGGAGGGTTTAGTCCCATTTAGCAAATCTTGAAAGTTGTTGAGAGCAAACCAGTTGGGTTTTGCAATTGAATACATTTGTGTAACGATTTGAAAACTTTCCCAGAGTTCATAGTCTACTGGTACTGTAGGCATGCAACATGGTAACATTAAAGTAATAATGGTGAACAACTCTTCACGCTGAAGACAGACTTCAAAGCTCCTTGACTGCACTGTGCTCTGAAGATCTTCTGACGGTTCAACTTATCTCTGACCTCAAGTTGCACCTTCTGTTTTGACTGCAAGAAAAACTCGGGATTTGGTTACCACTCCCTTGCAATAGACTGTGTTCATGTGTCAGCCATCTTGAATTGAACGTGAGGTAACGCTTTTCATTATGGGAACCCGGGAGTAAAAACACAACAGTGACAAAATAAACGTTCAAACAATTCATGCCTGTTTTGTTTCACAAAATTTAAAATGAGTGACACATGTACATAGAAATGATTATTATAAGTTATATTAAAAAACTCAAAGTGAAGATTGGCTCCCCAAATCGTTTGGCACCGCCCCTTATAATTAAATGATTACACTGAATATGATGGATTCAGGGAACAACATAAAAAGATGACTTCCCCATGAATAAATTCTATTCTGTGACCGTTTATCAGTTGTCATTATCTCTCTGTTTGACCGCCACTTCTATCCCTAAATCATTTAACGTTTGTGGACTGCTGCATTTCCCTGTCTAGCAAGAGCCTCAACTTTTGACCAACCCAACAAACAATCCTAGGTTCCAATGATTCAAGTGATGGTCAAGTGATTCCGATGTCATCGGTTCCTGTTACTTCCATGCCGAACGTCTCCTGTTCACAAGGGCAATGTCCCTACCCGTACATCTGCATTTCTCTTCCTTGCCTGTTCCAGACTTACTTTCCGCCGTACAGGAACGACTCTCTCGTCTCGGGGCTCTCCCCCCTCCGTCGTCTCTGCTCCGCCCGCCCCAGCCGCTTCTCGATCTTGGCCTCATGGCCGGTAGCCTTGGGGACGAGTTCCTCCATCACCTGACCAAAACAAAGCAGATGACCCTTTGGGGCTTTTGTTTGTTTTGCACCGAAACTCTCAGGTCATTCAAAAGTCCAAACAAGTGATTACTCGGTTATTAAAATGATAAACCTTTGATGGGAATTGTAAAGTTTGAACACCATGGAGAATGTGCCTTTGACTAGAAATTCCCCCAAAACTGACAAACTTGTTCACTCCTTTTCAGACCTTATTTTTCGAGGTGACAGAGCCCCCCTCAACCTTTTCCTCAAAGCAAATTCTCTAATACCATTTCGTTATGTTTCCTGAAATCTCGTCTCTCTTTCCTGAGCTGCTGTGCATTCCGTTCTTGTCTCTCTTCACGCCCTGCTTGAGAAAATGTCGAACCCTGAAATCCAAATCAAGACAAGGGCAATTTATTAACTTCTTGCAGGCACTTTCTCACGACGTACATGTACACCCCCAAGATTGATGTTGGGATCACCCAACTAAAGTTTGAACACAAAATGGCTCAAGACTTTGCCATACTCCGAAACACAATGTTTCTTGCCCCTCCAAACTCTTTAACAACACATTCATTCTATTAAAAGGGACAGATGTCATCTTTTGGGGGAATATGTCCTCAGAAACATACGGACCCCGAGGACACACTTATGTCAAAGTGGCAGCACATGAAAACGTGAATGCACAATGGACTGACTTTCCGAAACAGCTTCCTGACAAGTTACAAAACTGTACTGGTCCAAGAGAAGAAAAGGCTCCTCTATGTACCGCCTAGCCTGTACTTCAGCGAGACACTACTGCAGAAATGGTTTCAAATTCTAGTAGCTGTATTGGTCTGCTGTTGGCCATATAATTGTCCAATGATTGCATCCCCTTGTTGTCAGAAAAGGACATTTTCCACTACTGGTTAGTCCCGGGGGGGGGGGTTTGCAAATCTCTAACTCCGGTTTTTGCCTGATACTGACCATCCCAACTTTGGAGTTTAAGCTCAATAAAAAGCACACTTAGCCACAGGACCATGAACATGTATAGTCGACTCTCATTACAAGGAATACTCTTATAACAAAATACCGTTACAAAGAGTAAACTCAGCAAATCACAATTTCTTAAATTCTTTTATGTTTTCCTTTGTTTTTCCATTCCATTTCCAGTCCTGGTTACAACAAAGTAATTTGTTTGATCCCTGCCACTTTGTCATAACCAGCTACAAACACCAAGGTTGAAAACACACACTTATTTTTCATTTTGGGTAAACAAACGGTTTGATGACAAAGGGACAGCATTAGCCAAGCCATGATGTGGAGAGCCCCCTTACAGACAATTCTGGGCAAGAAACACAATTAGATCTTGTGGCTTTTCTCCTCACCGGTAGCATTGGGCCCTGGACGGGCCATGTGTTGCCCTGCGCGATCACAGGCAGAGTGGGGCCAATCACACGCTGCCCATCGTCCTCTGCGGAACCCGACGCTACCGAGGGCTTGCCGAACGTGGAGAAGGTCCTGGGCTTCAGGAGTGCATCTGCCACGGGGGTCAGGTGCTCCCCGGCCCGTGTGGTGTTGTGTCTGTCGCCGTACTTGGCAATGTCTAGTTTCTTGGGGGGTGTGTGAACCTCCGCAAACTGTAAAGGGCCGAAAAATGTGGGGATTTTGAGAGTACTGTTTTCTGTTATGGTTTGCTTAAATACACACACTTCATAACTCATTTTCATGCAGAAACTATATTAATCCTATCAGATACAGAAGAAAATAATTCTTTAACCCTATCTGCCCAAGGGTTGCTGGACCTAACCTTTCCCATTCACACAAAGTTAAACACCCATATGGGACTTTGTGTACAGAGGCTGTTGGACTTTGTTTTTCTGAGGTATGCCAAACCCAATGCAAAAGCCAGCTGTCTGGGCCTACCAGACCTATCCCCACAGAATTAAACACTTTACTACTGTTTAATTCTGTGTGCTTGGGGAAGGTTAGGGTTAAAGAGTACCTTGAAAACACTGTGAAGAAACAGTGGCTCATTGGCTTATTGCCATGTACTTACAATGAATCATCAAAGAAAAAAAAGAAATTTAGGACAGCCACAATTTCTTTTTGTATTTAATATACAAATATTTAGCGGATTTCTGTGCAAAAATCAATGCGACACTGAAGTTTTCTTCCTGGTTGACTTTTGAAATAGCTAAACAAAAATTGGATATGAAGCAAACTGATACAGAAAGGTGCATTTCCAAAGGGGTTGTATTAAATCACAGTGCATAGACCCTTTGAGCACAGAGCAGAACTTTAATGGTTAAGTCAAACTTGGCAGCGTCTGAACAGAATTTCATTCAAAACAAAATGCTGAAGATTTTCATGAAATACAGAGGCCAGAAAGTGGCTACGCATTTTAGTCTGAAGGATAACACCAGCCAGTTTTCTCACCTTCCATTTATATCTGGTCAGAGACGTTCGTGCGTCCTCATGGTCGATCCCTCTGTAAAATTTCTGCAAAGGTGAATCCCCCCACACACACAAAAAATCTTAACTTTAATTCCTACCAGGTTTTTTATACAAAGTGTCCAGCAAAATGAAACAAAAGTCAAGCACTACCAAAATGAGAACAGAACGGAGAGTACCCAGGGTTCCCAAGAAATCTGAAACCAAATTCAGTGACTTTTACGGGCCATTCCATGACTAAAGTTTCCATGACATCTTGTGTCAAATTATTTTATGTTGGCTGTTTACCGAACAATAAATGCTGCAGCCTAACAGTTTTTGAGGCATATGATGCAAGATATGGCACGGAGAGAACCCCCCCCCGCCTTTGTGTTGGTCATTGTTTGATCGGAATCTCAGGAATTCTTTACAGACTTTTAGGGGATGTGTTAGGTAACAATTGTCTAGTGTATAGGGATTCTACATGTGTGGAGGAGGGGGTACCCATCAGCCCCATATCGTGCACGGTATCTTTTGAGGAACATACTCAAGTTTGGTAGTCCAAGTCAGAGATTCTGCGCTTTCCAGTAATTTTGCTGACACCCCCTACAATTCGGCTCACATTTATGCCAAAAAATATACTTGCTAAATCTTCACGTCTGTTAGCATCGTTGGAAAACTGACATTGTTTACAGCGCCTTGTGACAGCGGTAAAAAAACATGTTACGCGTCATTCTTACCTTTCCAAGCTTTCCGCTGTTCCACTTTTTCACAAACTTCTTGAAGTACGACTTGGCTTTGGAACCTGAAAGCTGGTCAAAGTACTTGCCCTTCTACAAGATTCAGAAAAAAAACTCTTCACACCTTTAGGCTGGCCACTTTCCAACGGGCAGTGCCTGCCTGACAACATGTATCACCACTTTACATGTACACGTTCAGTTTAAACAGCCACGATGCAAAGTCTTAACCCTATCCATTTCAAAGCAGTAACACTGGAAACCTTTCCGAATTCTCCAAAATCATGTTACACTTTATGCAGGAAACCAATACGGGTGATTCATGATACAGAGCCCCACCAAGTGGTTAGCACGGAGAGAGACCATTTTTTGCAGTGCATTGTGGGAAACTGTCAACAAAGTCTATCCACTGTGCAAGGGCAACTTGTCTTGAACTGCTCTGAGTGTTTGTTTGCCTGAATAGAAGATTTCTAAATCACATTTAGAGAATCAGTTTTAATTAATCAAGATCAAATTTTCCTTTTTTTTATGAGGCTGCAGAATCTCCTCACATACTGAGAAATGATAAATACCAATGGATTAATGTCATGTTATTGTCAGTCGTACACTTCGAAAATTGACTCTCTCTGTCGTGTCTGTGGCCATCTTCCGGCTGCGCACAGTGTTGTGAATCGCCTGCATTGGGCGTGAACTTTTGAAGTGAACAAGCTGTGAATCCAGCCAAAAGTAAAGAGCACGTAGTTGTAATACTAGCCAGCTTCCTTGGGCCAGCTTCCTTCACAGCCCGCGACCTCAGAAAGTTGGGAAGAAAACAAGACTTGCAGCTGCACAGGACCATGTACAATGATTTTTTTTTTCACTTCTTATGGCACACGTGGGACTAAAACAGAGACAAAGAGAAGCCAACTGGTCCAAAGAGAAGTGGCAGGTCCAATGAACACTACCGCGGTACCACTGTACCTCTTCAACCAGCCATAATCTGAACTCCGTGCTCTTGTTGTAAAAGTCTTCCTTGGAGATTTTATCTGCACAAAATTCACCACAAAAAAAATACGCTCAAATGAAACGCCAGGTAAATTTGTAAAAGGTCTGGGGGGAAAAATGGATTCTCGAAGCAGATTTTTATAATAGAAAGGAATGTGATACCCAAAATGTCACATGTACATGCAGATTAAAGACAAAGAAATTTAAAGAAACTTTTGTACGATCAACATCAGTACATGTCTATATGTCCCAAAAAGTGTCTGTCTGAATGTTTTTCAAGAACCCCTGTGTTATACAATTGCTTGCACGCCTCCCTGCACAACGATCAGTTGATTGTTATATACGTGTATCTTGTTGCTTCAGTCCTAGTCACAAGCATATCAAATCTGAATCAGCCATCTTATGATGAAACACCAAATAAATTCACAACCCGTCCAAACTCAGGCAAAGCAGATTCGTACCCTACTGTAACAACTTTTGGAATTTGAACTGCCACAAATATCAGTGTACTGTAGATGTTGAATGTGCAATCTTGGGCTTTTTTGGAGCCCTCTTGGGCTCTTTTAGACCAATAACCTATCACCTCCTTACTCAATTCCTTCTTTTTCTTCTTTCTCTCCTCTCGTTTCTTTTCTCGCCGGCGTTGCTTCTTGGTCGAAGAGTCCAACTTCTGCTTCTTGAACTTCACCTCTGATTCGGATTCTGTGAGGAGGAAATGGAAACCAGAAATCAGAATTATAGCAAAGCCTCCTGCCCTGAAAAACAGAGGGGCAGGATCTCTTTGCCCTTTCAACTTTCAGACATTGTACATGTAGGTACATCTTTTGTTCCATCAGGGCTACAGAGTACCCAAGTGAATATGTCACACGCACAATAAGAGTGTAAAAGGCATCAGTGCGAGAACCAGCCCGTCAAGCAACAAGCTCTTCAACTCCATTCGTTTGCACTACACTTCGTGGTTCAAAATGACGTCAAACTTCGGTACCCTACAGCATCAGTCCCGACTACAATTGTGACAGTCACGATCACAGTTGGGTCCTACTATCACAACTATTCATGTGGTTGAGACCGCTCATTACAGCCTCAGGTATCAACACTGTACACGTGCATGTACACCTTAGCTGGGACTGTCCATCAGAAATATAATTGCAGTTTGGATGACTATAACATCATTGGATGTGGAACCAATCATCATCATACATGGTTTCTAGTTGGGACACATACAAGTTAGCTGGACTGTCCCTGCCATTGGCTACACACGTTGTCATGATAGTTGACTAGTTCTGAAGGTATATCTATGCAGAGTTGGGACTGTCCCAACTGTACAGGTACAGTTGAACCTCATTAACAAGAGCACAAGATTCTGCTTATAACAAGGAGATTTTCAGGTCCCAATCCTTTGCTTTTCATTTTGTTCATTCCTGATAATACAAGGTTCCTGTTACAAGGTGATCTGCCACGTCTTAAAGACCTCTTATTGACGAGGTTCAACTGTACTGTAGTCAGGAGTGGTGCAAGAGGAACGACAGGCAGAAAAGGGACACCTGATGAGCTGCTGTAACTGTCGCTGCTACCACTGCTGCTGCTCCTCTCACTGCTGCTGGCACGTCGCTTAGAGGAAGACTTCTTGTCTTTCACCCTGGGAAAAGAAAAGCAATAGGGAACAGTGATGCCTGACACAAAGTAGCAAGCAATGTTAGCCAATGATATACTATAACATCACCAAACTAACAATCACACATCAAGACATACATTATGTGCATTATACATGTACTTGTAACAGGAATACATGTACACACTGTACTTTGCATGGTGTGGACTGCTCTGGACTCTGTCATTTCAAAGGGTATTCAGGCACACTTTTACCCAAGTATACATGAACTCTCTAGGGCTGCATCTGAATTCATGGCCACCATGGCCACGTTGGCATAATTCAATACATTTACTCAATCCCAAAGAATGAACACAATGCACAGTCTGCCGTTACTTCAAGGCCTATATCTCAAACCACTGAGCTATAAAAAAGTGTTTTTATAGCTGCATGATCATACACAGCTACTGAAATAGAATGTTAGTTTTCTCACAAATTAAACGCTCACGAGTGAACAGTGGTGAATTTGCAAGCTAAAAAACTTCACGACTGGCACTTTCAAGATGACAAACGTAACCCCACTACCATGACTAGAGGCCCTACCTACTAATCACAGTGTCCCCCCCTCCCATCGGTGCCCTTGGGGTTTGTCTACTTACGGAACAGCAAGCACAGAGTAACATTAAGCCCTACTGACTTGCAGTTGTAGTTTTCTAGTTCTGTAAGTAGGCATAACCATGCTAACGTCAGGCCTAGAGTTCATTAAACTGTGGAGTTAGGGAATGACTACAGAATGGAATTAGTTGGCAACAATGTCTGTTTTTACCTGGAATTGCTTCCCATGTTCACAAACGTCTTTGCGATGGCGAGTCAAGAAATATAAATCATCTGATCTACATGTACGAACAGGATGAGGGCCTAAAAAAAGTGCATTCGAAAAAGCTGCGATTCGCTTCTTAAAGAGCGCCCTCATTCTTTCAGCTCGATCTCTCCGTGGAGGTTTTTCAATACTCGGGTTCGTCTCCGTTATGGCATCACCTGACTTTTAGGAGCCTGGAGTTGACTCCTGATGGCGCACTCAGCTCTTTTTCACGAAAGCACCAAGAGTGAAAACAAACGTGCACGAACAAGGAACGTGCGGAAAGGTCGTTAACCTGATAAAAGTATTTTTACCAATCTCCAAGTGACCTTTCCTAAATATTACTTGAGGAAGACAAAGGTCAAATTCCAACATGAGTGTTTCATGGGGTAATTTCATTTAGGAACTATTCTTTCAAAAAATATCGAACATGTTAGGACGGCCCAGTGTAAATCCCCATAGGAGGACCGTGTGAGGGTTCCGGAAGCTCGCTGCGTGACGTTTTACTTTTACTGCCGTTAAACTTAATGCACTTGTTTACGAAGCTACTAGCTCAGTAATAAGTCAGACAGTGTCCCTGAAACATCTAGCTATCCTTCCTCCATGTTATATGCAACAGAGCCAACAATAACCGGGAGTAGGTTTCTCTTTGCGTTGAACACTGCAGGCCTAGATTTGGGAATGAATTGCAGAGATGAATCCTGCGACGGGAGATCAAACCGAATCTTGGAAAACCGAATCCCATTAGCCGCCGATCCTACAGAATGATTCCGCAGACGTAGACATAACGCATGGTCCCCAACCAGCTGTACTGTATTCTTTTTATGTGGGAACCCAGCTAGTTCTCATCTGCTTCGGACTGGCTGGCGTGTTCGTGCACAGCAAACACGTTTTAACCCTCTGTTAAATAATAATTGAATGCGCGTGTATTTCATTGACGTCACGTCACGTGGCACTGATTTTGTGGTGGGAGCGAACAGTACCTCTCGGACCTTATCAGCAGTGGCGTAGCCAAGGGGGGAGGGGGGCTGAGGGAAAGTGCCACCCATAAATTCCCAGGGCCCCCAGCCCCCCCTCAAAAAAACCAACGGATAAATGAATTTTGAACAAGGCTAGAAAAACTTGACCAAAAACCACACCACTGAAAGCGGGTGCCAAAGATGTTGGAGCCGCCTTTGCCCCCCCCCCAGTAAAATCCCGGCTACGCCACTGCTAATCAGCATGATCATGGGTAGGCCTTACTTGACCCCCTTGGAAAAAGTCCCAATATTTCGTGTTCATTCAAAATCAATGCAGGCACAAGTTAACATGGCGCAAGCACCTGAAGTTATTGGCAAAGTCAAACTTGGTTACAAACCCAGACGAACTGACATAAATCCAACACGGCAGACCGTCCAACACAACAAAAATATGATTAATTAGCAGAACGGCGACAAAACCTTGCTTAGTAAGCTAGAGTAATATCAAAGAGCTAGGTGTTCCTAGTTTTCCGGTAATAAGGCCTACTCAACCAAGTTTGTCTACTCTATGCCCAGCGGAATGCGATATACTGGTCTCAGCTATTTCACACAATAATATTGACACGTGTTGCGTCGATGTGCCACGCTCTGATCCGAGATTCTTTCCGAAAACACCTTTCCTTTTTTTCACCAAACGAGCATTCTTTTTCATTTTAGTTCATTCAATGTGCGCCAATGTTTCATTTTTACCCTTATACGTTACTTTCATCAACAGGTTTTCTTTTCAAAAAATTACTGTGCGAAATAAACCTCGAACATTCTATTTCCCATTTGAAAAACAATCACGATGCAATACTCCTTGTTGTGTGGTTGTTTTTAATTTCTAGGAAGTCAACTTAGCAATCCGAGAAATCAATTTGCAATAACACTGCATGTTTGTGTATTTGTTGAAGACTGAGAATTCAGATAAATATGGGAAAATGGGAATAAATTAATAAGGAAAAAGGCTGATCTGATTTTTGCTTTCTTCTCGCAAGTCAATCCCTCTCTATTTGTCCTTTGCAGCTGATACTTGTCCGTAATCAATATTGAACAGCTGTTTATTCATACATAGATTCTTTGCTTCATTCGTACCAAATGTCGGAAGGAAACCCAAAACTGTGCAGAAGTCTATGGCGAATTCATAGGAAAGAAAGTCTTGATCGGAATTTTGTTTTTATAGTTTGAAAAAGTCTAAAAGTTATTTTGTTTGCAAGTGGTATATACGCGAAATAGTATTCCCAAACTCTTCGATTAAGGCATTTCTTACGGAATTGAATGCACAATTAATAACGCAGTTGACTGCGTATAAGCTGTGAAAAAGAATGTTCATACAGTGAAAAGGAATGACTCCTCATAAAACCGAATCAAGTTGCCGGGGGTTTGTTCAATGAGAACGACTGAACATTAAAACTGAATATTACAGATTTTGTGAAATTGGTTGGGAAACCTATGATATGCCTCCCTCAGGGCCAAACTTGACCAGGCCGAATGGCCAATTATACCCAAGACTAGTATCCCACCGTGCGCGCGATACATGTAGTATACGTTAAGATATTAATGTTATTGTTTGTGCACGGCACTCCTATATGCAGTTTGGAGTAGTGACGGCTGACCTAAAATAAAGAGGGGTATCGTATAATTTAAGCTGTGACGCGCATTAAGACGTCATCTGTATAATTTAGAGGTCAAATTAACACCTCAGTGCCAAGCCCCAACTCCTGCAGATATCGGAAATGCGTGAATGACATGACCGAAGAAAATTCTGCATGTTACCTCATCTCATTCCACACTCTTAAAACGACTTCGGCCTTCCGGGATGTGTCATCAGTCTTGGGTTTATAAAACGATTGAAGTTAAAACAGATGATTTTCTCTTCAAATATGCTTTATTATCTCCATCAGACTTGGGTAATACAAAGGTAGATACTATTCACTTGAAACAGTCATATTATGTTCCCTTAATGGAATTGTTAAGGTGCATAGAATATTCAAAACTTTGTAACTTACTGTGTAGTGTGCGCAAAATCAGGTCTCAGACTTTAATTGTACAGATTTGCATGTTAATCCCTGCCATCTGATTGGTGGATTGGCAATTATGCACAGCGTAAACGGCCTTCATATTTGTGTTTGGAAGAATCATGTCAGCTCTAGCTTTATATGCTTCTCTATCTAAACCCTAATTCTTATCTCATTCTTTCAACTTCAATGCTCCATGTCACACATAAATCTGAACACAAAAGCATGCTACACAAAAGTAATCATTATTGCAATTTTGTAAATTCTTTTTAAATGAAAATATAGCAATTTTGTACAGTCTCGGGTTTAATAACCGTTTTTAACAATTACAAAAAAGTGTCCCGTTTTCAAATCCACTTTATTACGTAAAAGCACTTTGGAATTTAACACATTCACAATGTAAAAATCGATGGATAGATCCAACGAAAGCTCTCCTGAAGTACAAACAATGCAAACAATTATTAAAATTAACCTTTTCACTTACAGCCCGTTTGAAGAGGCACAGGAGACAGGCAATAAGATACTGACGCCATTCGTACTGAAAGTAAACAAGGAATTGAACTTCGTCAACAAATGGGTCCGCTCAAACTGTAAACGAATATTTACAATGAATTGCAATGATGCTGGAGCTTCATACACGAACCTTGATTGGACCTTTGGAACCATTTATTGTTCAAAATTCTACAATGCACTGGCACATAGCCTTTATGATGGTGGCATATAACATTCTTAAAAGGGGTCTAAAATTTAATAACCTTTATTCATTTGAGGATTGTGTTTACAAGCATCAAGAAGACTGAATTACGTGACAGACAGCGGTGTACCTAAATACCCCTGGTATTGGCGGCTAGCCCCTTCACTGATTGAGCACCCCCGTGTGCCCTCACTAAAATAACAATATAAGACAAAGAAAAATCGGGTGTTAGTTTGCCATGGTCATTTTTTTCTACTTGTGTGGGTGCCCCTTGAAACGAAAATGAGAGCCCCATTATGTTTCCCCTTCCAGTATGTACCCAACTTACGCCAATGTGGCGACAAAATATTATACGAATACAGAATCTACTCTGTTTCGATGAGGAGTTGTTTGTCATCGTCGTATTGCTCGTCTCCTCCCATGGCCATTTCTAGCTCATCAAACTCTTGGTCCGCGTCGTCCCTCTCCTTCTTATCAGACGCCGGAAAGGTTGCCGGCTGTGGGTCGCGGCCTTCGGCGACAATGTCCGGTTGGACACGGGGAAGGCCTTGTGGTTGAGGAGCCATGTCCTGGGGAGGGACACCAAGCTGTGGGGCACCGATCCCTACAAGCGGGGATCCCATCCCTACCTGCGGGGCTACCATTACTACCCTCGTGGACCCAACACCAGCCTGCTGGGTTCCCATCTGAACTTGCCCAGGACCCATTCCTACCGGCTGGAGGGCACCTCCGGACTGTTGGGAACTTGAGCCTTCCTGTTGGTAATCAACCCCGATCTGTTGCGCAACGCGCCTACATGCATGCTGGACTGGAACCCCGGATTGCTGGCGGTCAGCCTCCTCTGTCTTGGCAGCAGCTTGCGGTTGAGCGCTCATCGAGATTGGTCGGGGAGGCCCAGCAACAGCAGCACCGACCAGCTGTGGGGTGTAAACCATTTGAGGGGTGCTCCTCCCTGAATGCTGTTGGGAGACGCTGAGCAGGGGAGTGCTTCGGCCCGAGTGCTGTTGGGGGAGAGTTGCTTGCTGTGAAGCAAGCCCGAGGTGCTGGGTTGGAGCCAGGCCCTGTCCGATATGAGGAGAACTTACCAGGTATCCTCCTGAGCAAGTAAAATTGGAAATATCGGACATTAAAAAGGGCTGGCAGATTTTGACTTGTCCTACAATGCAAAATATACTTCAAAATATTCGGTTTTATTCACGTCAAAAGTAACTGGTTTGTTACACCACAGAAAAGGGAAGGAATGATGCATGGGCAGCGACAGAGGCGTGACAGAAGTCCAACCTTGAAAGTCGGACACTTTTAGAGGCCTACCTGTGTGGTTCAAGTAAGAGTTCAGTTCATAGAATCGCATGCTACCTCGTACTCCCAAACAATTCCAAATTTCTAAATTCATTTGCCAGAACAAAATAGCTTGAGTGAGAGGCCGTACCCGGCACAGCCGTTGGTCCAGGCACCGCTTGCAACTGAAGTGGTTGGTGTTGCTGTTGCTGCTGTGTATTTATGACAGGAACAAACTGAGTAGCCTGCTGCTGTTGCTGTTGTGGCACATAACGAACCTGCATCTCCTGACAAAGTTGTTTTAAGAAATCATGATAACGTTCAGTGAAATACAGTGTCCGACAGTAGCGGCTAACTTGTTAACTTGTTCGCTAGGTGCAAAAATGTGTAGCCCTGCGCTGCATTTTCAATTTTTTTTTTGTACCACGAATGCGTCAATGGTCTCTACTATGCTACTACTAGTACTATTGTGGTTTGGAGCCCAAATTCCTTTCTAGTAGCGTTTAAATTGATCAGCTGGTGTCCCCTGTAAACTGCAGGGCGAGTACGTTTTTTTCCGAGTCCAGCTGGATTTCAGGGGGTGGGGTCCCACAACAGCCAAGCTAAGGTCCCTCAAACGCCAAGCTACAATCACCCCCCCACCACCACCACCACGATGAAAAAGCTGAGACATGTGTCTGCAAACATCAGAGACCCGGCACCCTTCACGAGGTAAACGACAGGCCCCTATTTGCCAGGCACCATCTGTGTAAGTAATCCCATGGGGGCACGTAGCCAAGATGTTTATACACGGTTGAATGGCTCTTGGCCTGATAAGAAGCAAGATATGAGACGGAGAGGCCTCCCCCTCGCTTTGTGTTGGCCATAGTCTCACTGGAACCTGAGGAAATCTTTTCAGACATCTGGGGGAATGTGTTAGGTAACCATAGTCTAGAGTGAGTGTTGCAATTGGACATGTGGGGGGTATCCCTCGGTCTCATTTCTTGCCAGAGGCCGGATCGACTTTTTTTCCCTGCTGAGGGTAAACCCTGACATTATTAAAGGTGACTAAACAGGTCGTTTAGCACGAATAGAGGTAGGATTAGATGGCAGGTGATTGCATTTGGCATGCATTTCGTACCTCCATGCCTTTGGCAATTTTTTTTTAATTACGTAATTAGCAAAAACGGTTTTCACATTGTAGAGCATTGCCCCCTGGTTGGCAACAGTGAAATTTGCTGAAAAGAGGACACGACCAACCGAGAGGGACAAGTTTACTGACTGCCTGCTATATGCACCATGCATAAATATGCCAGATTCAGATTACATCTGTACCTGAAAGCATCTGAAATAAAGATATTTAAAGGACTAATGACGTTTTGAGAACATTATCCACCATTTTGTGGTTAACCTCATCGAACGAACCGTGTCTGGAGCTGAGTTGGGAATGTCTTTGGATAGGCCGTAGCAGCTGCAGGCGGATCCGACGATGGCGAATACCATCTCGGCAAGGGCGACCACTGCAATCACGGCATCCACAGCCAGGCGGGCTTCCTGTTGGTCGAAAAACCGATAAAGAAAGTATAGTGAGGTAGAAAATAAGCTTACCACCTCTGTTTCCCAGTGTAAAAGTGCACCGGCGAAATCATTAATGTTCAAACACATTTCGCCCATGATATAGGCCGACGCGTTGTTCATCACAACAGTGTTTCGCACCATGGCCCAAAAATTGCAAAATGTTCCCCTTCTCGTCCTGGACACTGACTAATGTCGACTTTTCCAAGCAGGTTGCTGACAACATTTTAAAAAAACCTAGTGTGATGTTTTAACGTCTTTTAAGCGTCTCTCTGGTAGCACTTTACGAACACGTTGTGATTTTAATAATCCAACTTAAGCACGGTTTCAGGTGAATATGTCTTTGTTTTAAACAAAGCCAAGCAGATGTGCAGAAAATTTAAACACAAAGACACATTTGGGAGTTAAAATATAAAACATAAACACCTTTATGGTGGTAACACTTTCTGAATATCGAGACATGTGTACTTCTTGAAAAGTGTTTAATTTCAAGTGGTTACATGTTTGCAATTGATTAACGCAAAGAGGCATTCTTAATGGCTGTTGGTTTGTACCGTCAAATTCTGACTTGTTACCTTTTAAAGACTAAATAATTGTTTGCGACCGTTGGGCTATCAACGAATCCTTGCTGCGCTCGTCCAAACCAAAACCTAAGCCCAACCCCTCCCCAACCGAACCAAATTAAATCAAATTTAAATGCAGGCGTGGATCCATTTATGGGGGGGTGCAGGCGGTCAAACACTGTCATTGCATGCTGATTGCATTTTTGGCCTATGTATCTAAGTATATCAAAAAGCATATACAACACAGGTGTCTTATTTTGTGTGCAAGAACAATGTATGGCTTCACTGATATATCGACACCACCCATTGTACGAAAAAAATCCCTCTTCCCATACCACTCGCGCAAACCTGCTGCAAAGTCCTGGATCTGCTCGGACACTTGGCAACGCAAAGCACGTTAATAAACCGAATGATGCATACTGGTAGCAAACGTCTCAAAAATAACGTAACACCGGCCTTATTATATAAATTGGGGCAAAATGTAGTATAGCATTCATACCCAGGCAACGTCGCAGTAGAAGTAGGAGAAGTAACTTTCATAATGTCTTGTGCAACTTGGATCGGACTCCTCGATGGCTGCACCCCAGATCGATGGAATTAACATCAAACCAGCGTCAATCGAAGCCAGGATTGACATGATCATGAAGGCAGTGATCTGGGTTAAAATAAGAAATGTTTAGACAAACAACAATTGGCATGACTATCTTATCAAACGTCCCATTCCATTGCCAAAAAGACCCGGTGTTTGTAAAACATCCAATAAGCCAATTTCGTTGAGAAGCTGAACACAGAAGGCACAGAAAATTCATGCTTTGCACTAGCAGAAACCCGTTCAGCCACTGTATTTGAAACTGATTTTTCCTGTTTGCACAATTACAGTAATTACAAATTTAGTTAATGGTATATATTTTTACGAGAAACCAAGCCTTGCATTTGCCTGTAAGTCGGGCCTGTCGCCGGGAGGGGGCCGCTTCCCTGGCAGGAAGCTGCCCCCCTAAGTAAAAAGCAAAAGTAAAAGCATAAGCATGAAAAATGTTCCTGTGATGTGGTCCCCCAGCAGATACTGTGGCTCCTTAATGCCTGAAGCTGGCGGCGGGGCTGCTGCAGGTGTACATTTACTTGAAATCCTTGGTACCCACGGCTGCAACGTGAATTTTGTAAATTTATACTATTTTTCTTCTTTTATTTGTGGAATGGCGTTTCTCATGATGTATCCATCCAAAGTGAATCTCAGTGTTACTTTATCAGTCAAATACAGTCAAATAAAACGATACACTTAAGAAAAGAGAATGCACTTTGTTCAACTCAGCAGTTAAGTACATAAAATCTAGAATGCACGTGGTCTTACCAAGCATTTGTTTCTGTTCGTACATGCAGCGACTATCCCGAGAATTCCAGTTATACTGAAGAACTAGTGAAAGAAGATAGAAAGCAGTTCATCCTTTACATGCCACCCGATCTGACAACCCACCTCTATCAGTCAACAAAGTGTCTAAAAGCAGCATAGTTTTGCTCTTTAATATGCAAATGTGGATTAGTATAAAACAGAAAAGCTCCAAAATCTGGATAAAATAGTGAAACAATAATAATTTACAATAAGGTTTATCGATAGGTGCAATTTCAAGGGTCTTTAGTCAATTTCATTAAATGTTTCTATTACATCTATGTCACTATTAGCCCCTTTAACAGCAAACGGTAGTCGGGTAAAGTGTGTATAATTGTATATTTGCTCTTTCGAATAAATCACAATATGAGAACCTCGCAACACCGAAACAGTAGCGAAACACTTGACCATAGGAGTCATTTCAAATCTCCTCTGAGAAAAGTTACGACTAATTGCGGCTACAGTGGAAAAAGTTGTGCATTTCAGGAAAAGTTGGTGAGGAAGTTTATTAGCAGGTCACTATTATGAAGGACTGTGTTTACACACCAGAGGGTATTTAATTAACAGGTGGTCAGTGTTTAAGTGGTTTGTGGTTTCCAAAAACTGACCTTGGATCGTTCAACACGCTATGACTTCCTCTCTCTGTTCAGTGTTGAAGACTGAATCATTGGTTGGAAATTTTATAGACTTTATAGACTTTGTTCCCCTTATTTTAATTATCTGCATCACTCACTTGTTAAATATACAAGTTGTGGTGCCTCATGGCCCTTGTTCTAAATTCAATTCTGGAAATTGTAAGGTTAGAAAGTTTTATGTACACATGGCTGAAATGTAAGACAAGTCCACCTGATTCATCAGCATAAAGTGAAATGAGATCTGAGATTCTCCCTTCGACAAATACTGGTAACTTCATTCTGGGAAGATTGCGGGAAAGTTGTTCAGGATCAAGCCTTCAATATTCAGCTGCTATAGCTGTCCGCAATTTGTCCTCAAGTTGTCCCGGACCAGATTTGAGGTAAGTCCTTATTCACAGATCGATCATGTTGAATTGAGAGCAAATTTTTTTCAGCAACATTAATAAAATAAAATAAATTAAAATAAAATAAAATAAAAATAATGAGGCATGGAACCAAACATAAGCTGGCACAGCCCCATTTGATAGATTAAATGGAAGAATTATTGCGAAGAGTTGCTTGACTTCTTTTGATAGAGGTTTCGTGAATTCTTACCAAAAACTGAGCAGTTATAGATTCAGTTAACGTTGAAAAGTGTGGTTTTTTAAGTAGTCGATGACATTATGACAACTGAGGGGCAAGTTCTGCATCCACGAATACGGCTATACCTCGACTGATCGGATGAAACTTGGCGCACAAAGACATCTCATCGGGTACATCCTCAGCTTGGTCGGGAAGAGGGTTTTCGTTGTTAGGGACACTGTTTAGGGTCTCATTCATGTCAGCCGTACAAACACTGCAAAGTTGACTGTGGCGATTGTTTATTAGCTTTTAATACTTGCCTTGTATCGGACAAAAACGAGAGAACGGCATGCCATAAATTTAAAACATTAGTGTTAAAATGACAGGACGATACGCGGCCTGCTTTTCGGCACGATACGAAAATGCTGTGTAGGCCTATCGGGGAAAATTTGCACAGGTTGGGGCTAAAAAAAATCCATAAGGGTGCATTCTAGCCCCTCCCTTCATTCCGTTGAAGATGTAACTGACTGTATACTTTAAAATGCTGCGAGGTTTTGAGTGTAAAACGTTCACCTACCAGCACCCCACTCCAAATGGGATATCCTGTAAATATATGAAGTTCTCCATGACGACAACAGCGATTCCGAGCAAGGCACAGAGAACTCCAAGGACAAGCTGGAAGATGGACACCAGGAGCAGGCAGGGAACTCCGTGGGGCGTTTTGGCGGTTCGATCGGTAGGCTGTCCCACTGCATATTGGGCCTGCTGTGAGAACGCTCCGTTCGCCACGCCGTTGGCAGCTATCATTTGCGTCATGCTGAGATGCTTGTATGTGTCGTTACTTTTTTCAATTTTTTTTTACCCAATCGACCTGAAAAGGAAATGTTTTCGTGTAGAAGAGGAGCTAGGTGTGTATTTTGGTTGGATTTGAACACGCAAAATACAGTCTCCTGTTACGTTTTGTCCGTTATTGAAGTACTTCCACCAGAAAAGTCCACATCGTGTGCGTGCCATTTCTGCTACATCATAAGCCCTGGAGTACATCGATTGCAATTTTTTTTTACATAAGAGCTCAGTAGGTTTGGAAATCGAAATATCTGAAAAAAAATTGAAACTGCTCAAAAGGAAAAATAAATTCATGACTAAAGACGACAATTTTTAAAGAAAGTTCCGCCAAACAAAGCAAGTTTACTTACGAACTCTGACGTCTTTACAGTGGGAGTTTTCGCCGTTATCGCAAGTAGGCTTGTACTGCCAGATAGCGAACTACATTGGCACGAGCTGAGGTTAAGCATTCAAACATGGCGTGATGCAGACTTTGAACTTGACGTAGATTTGTCAATATTTTATGGAATTTCTTTCATAACCTATATTTAGAATAAACATGACCATTGAGGCCAGGATTTCAGGGTTCTACGACGAGTGAACAACGGCGTATCCAGCATTTGGTGGGGGAAATTCAAAAGCGAATGCGGCTTCAGGCCCATTGAACATGATGTTGGGGAGAAAAAAAAATCAACAGCCTTAGCCACGGTCCCGACATCCTTAATTGCTTTTATCTCGTGGTGGTGTTGCCTTAGTTATATGGTGCTAAAATATTTGATAAATAAATACACCGATTAATTTTATTTCCTACGTCACCTGTAAGTATTCTCTGTGCAAAAAAAGTCCACGGGGGAGGGGCACGTTCCCCTGCAGCCCCACCCCTCTGGATACGCCAATGCCGCTGAACTAAAGGTTTGTTGTCTTGCCAAACGTGTTGTGTGCGAACTATGATTTATGTATAACACAACCAAGGGCGGGGGGAGCAACGTGGGGCCATAGCACGCCCCCCCTAAAAAGATGAGAATTTCTTTCTTTAATCAACCAGAGTGAAAAAATTAAGTGTCTTAAAGGGGGACTGTTTGTATGGACAGGGCCATTTTATTGAGGATTTTTCTTTCTCTGAGCAGCTGCTTTATTGTGAATGGTGCACTAAGTTAATGCAAAAGCGGACAGGGGACCCGGCTTATTTTGTCCCCCGGGGGGGGTCTGGCTCGGCTTTGACTGCATCATGAAATCTACTTTGCTACATTATCATCGCCTTCATTTTAATTCCAGAGCTAATGTTCTACGGTGGACTTCCCATATATACCTGTAAAGCTAGGGTAGGATGAAGTGCCCCCTCTTGGCAGTACAGGTACCTATATTCCTCAGGTTATATACTCAACTCAGTTTCAAGTACTAATGTCGCAGCAACTAGAGCCTCGAATCTTATATTGCTGCGAAGCAATGAACTGGCTGGTTTGAATTAAGCTTTCCCAAAATCAAAAGTTCCAGGCGAAACACAACCGTTAAAACTATGTAAGATACATAATGTCCATGGGCATAATGCATGTGCCTGTTAGGCAATCTGGCCTACGACGGCTGAAGGACGTTTGTCTTTATCTTTGTGCCATTCCAACCCAACTCTCTGTTGTTATTCAGTTGCAAAACAGATAAAAAGAAGAATTAGTAAGTAGGCTTTATTATATCAGAATCCGACCATGGATCTAAATACTCTGTGTTGATTCAATCCTATATTGGTGTAGTTTTTAGAGAAGGACAGTGTGGATTCTCAGAGTATCCGTTAGAACATGGAGCTCCGCATCGATCAGTGCTAGGGCCAGTGCTTTTCAACTTATATACACTCCCCTTAGGTCAGCTCATTAGAAAACACGGCCTTACATATCATTTTTATGCAGATGACTTAATGGTCTTTATTTCATCTACTAAAACAAGGTGTTCAAATAAAGTGAGCGTTGTTGAGAAATTGACATTCAATATTGGATGGCTGCTAATTACATGAAGGCAAACACTGATAAAAACCTATATTTACATTATTGGAACTCCTTTGATTTTGAAAAAAAAATCCCTCAAGTTTATACACCTGTTGGAGATTACCAAATTGAAGCTGTTGACAAATTGAAGCATCTGGGGGTCATTATGGACCAGAATTTGGATATGCAGAATCATATTCGAGTAATATCTAGAAATGCTTTCTGTCATTTGCATAATATCCGCAAAATTAAATAATACATTAATTATCCTATTATTGTTATGTTAATGATGTCCCGTATCTACTATTGTAATGCATTGTTTGCTGGGCTGCCTAAATCCACTCTTAATCCATTACAACATACTCAAAATTGTGCTGCCAGACTGTTAACAGGTACACAGAAAACTGAACATATCACTCCAATTTTGTTTTAAACTACATTGGCTTCCCATAAGTTACAGAATTGAGTATAAAGTCTGTCTTCTTGGGTTTAAATGTCTAAATGGTCTTGCTGTCAGTTTAACCCCAGTCAGAAGCACACGATTATCACCTGATCAAACTAGATTAAGATGTACAAAAAAAACAAAATTCTGTAGTTTTGTTTTGCTTTTCTTTTGTAGCACCAACTTAAATGTTGGAATAAATTGGACAAAACCTCAGAGGGAGATTGGAAACCTCAATGACTTCAAACGTAAATTGAAAACTATTCTCTTTGGAGAGGCATATTCATCCTTACTGAAGGATTAAATTTGATGTATGATGTTAGATGTTACATGAATGTAAGTAACTTTATGCATATACTTGCGTGGTTTTAACTATTGCATGTACGTAAGTAACTTAATGTTTATGATTGTAGTTACTATCTTTTAATCATCATACCGTTTTAATTTTATAGATTGCTCTGTTTGTATTGTGTTTATTGTATATTATACTTTGTGTCCGCGCCTTGGAGCATTTTCATGGATTTGGCGCTTTATAAATGTATTGTTATTGTTAGTTATTATTTATTAGTTATTATCAATTTGTTTTTCTTCATTTCTTTCCTCTTCAAGTCAACAGACTGACGGGAATTGTGTTTTTTTTAATAATAACACCAAGAATAACTTTCTCAAAACATATGATATTTATGCAACATTTACACGCATATTTATAATAGCCTATGCGACAAAACTACATGTACATGACACCTGCATTGGACCTTTGCAACCATGGTTCAACATTCTACAATGCAGCGGCGACATAGCCTTTATGATGGTGGTATTTAACATTTCTAAACGGGGGTCTAATAATTAATAACCTTTATCCAATTGACAATTATGTTAACAAGCAACGAGAAGACTAGTATAACGTGACAGGCAGTGGTATACCTAAAGCAGGGTTAGCCCCTTCACTGACTGAGCGCCCCAGTGTGCCCACACTAAGACAATATTAGATAAAGAAAGATTTGGTGATAGTTCTGCCGTGGTCCATTTTTTCTACTTGTGTGGGTGCCCCTTGAAGCGAAAATGAGAGCCCCATTATGTTCCCCCTTCCAGTATGTACCCAACTTACGCCAATGATGCGACAAAATATTATACGATACAGAATCTACTCTGTTTCGATGAGGAGTTGTTTGTCATCGTGGTACTGCTCGTCTCCTCCCATGGCCATTTCTAACTCACCAAACTCTTGGTCCGCGTCGTCCCTCTCCTTCTTATCAGACGCCGGGAAGGCTGCCGGCTGTGGGTCGTGGCCTTTGGCGGCAATGTCCGGTTGGACACGGGGAAGGCCTTGTGGTTGAGGAGTCATGTCCTGGGGAGGGAATCCAAGCTGTGGGGCACCCATTCCTACCTGCGTGGACCCAACACCAGCCTTTTGGGTTCCCATCTGAAACTGTCCAGGACCCATTCCTACCTGCTGAACGGCACCACCGGACTGTTGGGAACTTGAGCCTTCCTGTTGGTAACCAACCCCGATCTGTTGCGCAACGCTACCTGCTTGCTGGACTGGTACCCCAGATCGCTGGTTGTCAGCCTCTGTCTTGGCTAAAGCTTGTGGTTGAGCACACATCAAGATTGGCTGAGGGGACCCAGCAACAGGAGCACCGACCGGCTGTGGAGCGTAAACCATTTGAGGGGTGCTCCGCCCTGAATGCTGTTGGGAGACGCTGAGCAGGGGAGTGCTTCGGCCCGAATGCTGTTGGGGGAGACCTGCTTGCTGGGAAGCAACCCCGACGGGTTGGGTTGGAGGCAGGCCTTGTCCGACATGCGGAGAACTTACCAGGTATCCTCCTGCTCAAGTAAAGGAAAACATCAGATATTAATTTAGCTGCCTGATTTTGACTTGTCCTATAATGAAAAATATACTTCCAAAATATTCTGGAATTCGGTTTTATTACACGTCAAAAGTAACATCATGCGCAATGACAGAGGTGATGAGCCACAAGTCCAATTTTGAAAGGGACACTTTACTGCAATGAGTAAAAGCACCCCCTCATCGGTTGAAAAGAGCCGTCCTTGTCGGAAGTGTTCCTTTTGGTTAGTAGCGACGCTCAAGTAAACTTGTGCATTTCCTAAAGTGAAGTGAATTTCCTAGCAAAGGAGCCTCCGTTGCTAGGAAAATCGCGCCCTATCTTGGTCCAGCTCGGACCCACAGGCCTAACTATAGTTTAGTTAAAAGCCTTGCCCACCACACACACACACAACCGATGCCGTTTTAATTTGCCAGAACAAGTTAGCTTAATCTAATGTAAGAGCCTACCTGGAACAGCCGTTGGTCCAGGCACCGCTTGCAACTGAAGTGGTTGGTGTTGCTGTTGCTGCTGTGTGTTTATGACAGGAACAAACCGAGTAACAACCCGCTGCTGTTGCTGTTGTGGTACATAACGAACTTGCATCTCCTGACAAAATGAAGTGTTTCCTTTTTAAAATAATGATTAGGTTATGTCAAAAAATAGTGTCCAACAGAATGGTTTAACTTGTTTGTTAGGTGTAACTCCTGCAGACAACAGTGAAATTTGTTGAGCAGGGTGACACGACCGACCAAGAAAGACAAATTTACCGACAGCCTGTTTGGTTCACAAATGTAAAACCGTCAGATTCCGAACAAATGTGTAAACTGTGATAGAGTAAGCCCAAGTCATTCAAATGTCTGACAAAACGTCAATTTGAAAAACTCCGACTAACTACAAAACGAGACACAGTAATATAGTGCACTTAACAAGAAATGCATTAAAATTATATTGCACTGACCTTCAAATATTAAGGTGCTGCATTTATTGCAAAAAAGCGTAAGCGTCATTTTTTTTGAGGGGGGGGTTGTGGTCTACTGGAAGTTTGTAAAAAATACATTACTATAGCCTCCAAAACACACAAACTGGTGACGTGTGCGCATTTTGAACGTACCGTGTCTGGAGCAGTGTATGACACTGCTTTGGATAGGCCGTAGCAGCTGCAGGCGGATCCCACAATGGCAAATACCATCTCGGCAAGGGCAACCACTGCAATTACGATATCCACGGCCATGCGGGCTTCCTGTAGGTTGGGCGAAGAACCAAGCAAGATAGTCAGATGAGGTAGAAAATAATGCTAACCACCTCTGTTTCACTCCTGGATAACTAATTGATGGGTTAGAAGTAAAATTGCCGGGAGAAATCTGCAGTGTTCAATCACATTTCGCCCATCATCAATCAGTGCTTTGCGCAGCCAGGTTTATCCAAAACATTTCAAAATGGATGCGCAGTTTCTGTTATTGTCCTTGCGAGTAACGTCGATGTTTCCAAGCAGAGTGCTGACATGTTCTGGCTTGTTACCGACCTTACGAAACTCAAGTGACAGATTCGTGACCGCTGTGTAGTCATAAATCGTCTTTGCTCGAATCGGATAAACTTTGCCAATCTTGTCCAAGCCCAACCTGCCCCAACTGAGGCAATCTAAACTCAGGCGCGGATCCAGAGGGGGTTTAGCCCTCCTGGCTAATTGCCTTTCTGCCCCTACATCCAAATGTTGGAAGACCCCTTCCAAAGCACAAACCATCTGTGGGTCTTACTTTGCGAATACGGTTAACGACGCAACAAAGGGTTAAAACGAGCACTAATTTACACAACGTACGTAACCCCGGCAAAACATCCTGTATCCGTCCATGAAACCTGGCCATGCAAAGCAATGAATAAAAAGATATATTATTATCAAACCGAAACAACTTTTTAAAGTTAAATTGGGCCCAGGTGCAATGTCGTATTCGTACCCAGGAAACGGCGCAGTAGTATTGGTAGTTAGGGTAGTTTTCGTAATATCTTGTGCAACTTGGATCGAACTGCTCGCTGGCTGCACCCCCGATCGATGGAATCAACATCAAACCAGCGTCAATCGAAGCCAGGATTGACATGACCATGAAGGCGATGATCTGCGCAAAAATAACAAAATTATTAGAGAAAAAAATGAAATCACTGTCTTATCACACAGTTTATTCAGTCTGAATACCCCCATTAGCGTAATTTTCAAATTACGATCGGGGTTATAATGAGGGAACGCGCACTAAGCCCATCAGTTGGCAGACATGGGTGCCAGTGATTTCCCATAGACTTTTACACATCGCAGTTTTATAATTACATTTTAAAGGAGAAGTTAACGGACTTTCACGCTAAACCGTGAACTTGCCTGCAAGTACATTATGGGAAATCGTAGGTACCCATGGCTGCAAGGTTTTCTATATTTACATGATTTTTCTTTGTGGAAGGGTGTCTCTCTGGATGCAGCTGTTCAATGTAAACAGTCCCGTGTTACTTAATTTATCGACAACAGTCAAATATCAATACACTTAAGCAAAGAGAAGTACTTTGTTCACTTTGGCAGTGACATGCAAAATACACGGAAAAGGTTGTCTTACCAAGCATTTGTTCCTATTTGCGCACGCAGTAACGATTCCGAGAATTCCAGTTATGCAGAAAAACTAGTGATGAAAGAAGACAGACAGGAGTTTAACCTACGATGCCACCCAATCCTAAACGAAGTTTCTAACAGCAAAATGTCAATATTATGAACGTAGAATTGATACGTATATAACTATAATCGTATTGTGTCATGTGAGGGCCGCCAGGTAATAATAATTGAAATATAAACGTGAGGCATGGAATCCAAGATAGTCTGACACTACCCCACTTCGATAGATTGCATTAGGTAAAATAGATTTAGATTCAGGGAACATGATGAAAATGGCTCCCTCGTGAACAAGGTCCATTAGGATGAGAAGGACATCTTTCGATACTGACCAAACCAAGTTTCGAGCTTTTCATCAATTTCTGACCAGTGGGAGGGTAACTTTGAATAGTCGGTGCTTCTGTGGCTGGCTGATGACCTTATGTCGAGTAAGTGGTGAATTCTGCCCCCAAGCATAGAGCTATTTACCGATCGTTTGAAACTTTCCGCAAAAAGACATCCAATTGAGTTCATCTTTAGCTCAGTCAGAAAAAATAAAGGGTTTCATCTTACGGACATTGTTTGGGGTCTCACTCATGTCAGTCTATACATACACTGCAAAGTGAGTGTGGCAACGAAGCCAAAAGGCAATGACTGTATTTATTGGCTTCTTCTTGTTGCAGTTTCTGTCTGGAAAATATTCGAGATAACGGTATGGCCTAATTGAATAAAACTGGTGTCAAAATGACAAGACGACATCAGCGGAAAGCAAACTTAAGCCTGTTTTTCGGCATGATACGAAAATACAGTGTAGTCACTACCGGGAAAAATTTGCATGGGTTGGGGTGGCTCTGCCGGGTCTTTGGGGGCCACAAATTCTCTCTCAAAGTGTAAGCTGGCCCCTAATTAACGTCTCACGCAGTTAAAGAAGCCTGCTTTATTCAGCAAGGGGTTTTGGGCATGTAAAACGTTCACCTACCAGCACACCACTCCAAATGGGATATCCTGTAAAATATATGAAGTTCTCCATGACGACAGCAGCGATTCCGAGCAAGGCACAGAGAACTCCGAGGATCAGTTGGAAGACGGACACTAGAAGCAGACAAGGAACTCCGTGGGGCGTTTTGGCGGTTCGACCGGCTGGCCGCCCCAGTGCGTATGGGGCCTGCTGTGAGATAACTCCGTTCGCCATGCCGTTGGCAGCCATCGTTTGGGTCATGGTGCTGAAATGCCTGTTTCAGTTTGCCAACAACACAATCGACCTGAAAGGAAATCTTTTTCGTATAAGAAAGGTGCTGGGTCATTGACCACACACAATACGGCAACCGGATGCATTTGGGACTTAACGAAAAATACATGTATGGTACGTTCTCTACAATGGAATAATTTTCGTATTGTATGTGGCTTTCGTGGTATATCGCTGGTTCTGTGGTAAATTCATTAATTGCAATTATAAGTGAGCGTGAACATGCGATGGGTTTTCAAGATCGAAAGACAATCTTAAAGACATCTGACAAATATCGAAGCTTTTCAAAATCCAAGGCAAATTCATGAGAAAACAGGAACACGGAGAGTAAAAGTGCCCCTCATGCAGTAAACACGATTACTCACGGTAGGAGATATCACCGTGTGGTACAGCACGTAGGCCTGTATTCAATCTACAACTGATACGTAGCAACGATACTGGTAAACGTGGTAAACGTGTAATACTGGTAAGCGTTCAAACATGGCGTGGCGCAAACTTTGGACTTGACTTAGATTGACGTATTAAATAGAATTTATGTCATGGCCTACATTTAGAATGAACCCGAGCATGGAGGCCAAGAGTTTACGTCTCAATCGCCAACTGAACCAAAGCTTTATTGTCTTAATTATCAATTCCGTGTACAAGTTCAAGATGTACTTTGCGTTGGGAAGATGTTAAGTTATTTTGGGGGGTTGCCCTCACCTAAAGTATAATTATAACAGTGTACATCCATGTTCTGAGTGCTTGTCCGACAGCTTGCAAAAAATTCACAAGCGTGGGTTTGAGTCCCACCCGAGTATAAAGCTTGTGATTGTTTACGCAAGCTGTCGGACAAGCACTGAGTATACACTGTTTATAATATAGTGCAGACGTCTTAACCACTCGATCACCAAGCTTGCCGGGGGTCTTCTGGCCGGTCCGAATCAGGTGTAGTGGCGGGTACCGCGAACTATTTGTCAAGATGTACTTTGAGTTGGGGAGATGCATTTTTGCAATACAGTGTATATACACGTTGGGCAAGGGCAAAACACGTAATATAACTTTTTGTGTATAACCTACGTATTGTGCATAATACAAAATGGAATACCATGGGCTATATTATTATCATCATTACATTCACTTATCCAAGCGCTAAATCCTCTGCAACTGGCCATACTTGTGTAGATCAACTGTCACCTAAAGGCAGAAGGCACCAGTATTCCTTATACGCCATATTCTCTCTCCGGTTTCAGTTTCTTATAGATATAGAACATCGCATGTCATATTGGTGCTAAGCTATGGACTAGCTAGTTTGATTAAGCTTTCCCAAAATTAAAGGTCAAGGAGAAGCATGTACAAAACCATCAAAAATGTGTAGTTTACAGCACACGGCTCTGAGCACAGTAGGGGCCAACTTTTAAAATTAATCTCTATGAGCTTCGTGTCCTAAAGTAATTTATGAATGAGAAAGCTCAGTAATATCATGAACGATTTCACATTGTAGCAAAACCTAGATTGTGCGTAAAGTAATCCTTGTCATGCGAAACTGAAAATTTTGACTCCGATACACAGTTACATTAATATGCTAATTACCACATTTTCTGTGTCAATTTAAGTACAATCTTTCCAATTTATCAAAAAGTCGTTTTCTTCAGCAACCACAACTTTCCATGTTCGATGAAACTTATCCTGGACTACGTACATTATTAGAGAAGGGTGCCTTCAAATGGGTGAGGTGACAACCACTGCTCTAGGTGTCCAGTAGGTTTGGTACTCAAACAGACAGTGTATGCTGATGCAGCCGCCAGATTGACAGGTTTATCGGCAGCAACTAACAATTACCATGCAAGACTTCGATGGATGATGACAAGGTCAACACGGGCAGCACTGATAAGCACTCTTCAGGCCATAGTTGGACTTGATGGCCCAGACTCAGTTGCTGCAGACATTCGTCCTTGCAGGATCAAGAGGGATAGAAGTGGCATGCAAAAAGTGGTTCGTCAGATAGAAGAATCCTGCAATCCTTTCCAGGATAAGACCAGCGATGCTCTTTTTTACATCCACACAGGCAAAGCTGCCACTGGGGCGGTCCAAGAAAGTCTCTTGTCTGTGCAACTGGTTGGTAAAGCCAGGTACAAGGAGTTAATCGATGCCTGTATTGCTAATCCTTCCAAATTTGAGCAGCCAATAAAAAAGTCAAGCTTAGGAACTTTGAGGCCGAATGCGCAGTCGACGATCAACTGACCGCAAGATTGCAGAGCTTTGATGTACTCGGGATCTCATGGGGTGCCTTCTTGTTCTCGCGAACCAGAAAAAGTTATATTTCCCGCACATATTGACCTATCCCCTAACATCCCCTAACACCAGTGCCACTAGCTCTATGTCACACAAATGGCATGATACATGAAATATGCCTGCTACATATGGGGAACTGGCAAGAATGCTTCTGGTACAGATTATGTCATTGTCTCCCAGGCAAGTGGACCTTGTGTTTGACACAAGACACCATCAATAAAAGATCTTGAAAGGGGGACCAAAGGAGCCCAAGACACAGTGTACAAAATCACAGGTCCAGAGCAAGCCAGGCCAAAGAAATTATCCGACGCCTTAAAATCTGCTTCCTTCAAAAGCCAGCTGCCAGCCGTTTTGGTCATTGAATGGGAAAAGGCCTGAATATGCACACAATTGGATAACGAGACCAGTTTGTCAATCAAGACAGTACATGTCATCATTTTCATGTGCAGGGTGGTAAAGTCATCCAGGATGTGATTGATTCGTTGGCAACGAATCACCAAGAAGGGGATACAAGAGTTTGCCTTCACATGGAAACGACATCTGACGGTGCAGTAGGTGGCAATACTGTTGTCAGGGCATCTGACACTGATATTGCAGTTATACTGCTTTATCACTGGCATAGACATGCAACGACAGTATAGATGTTGGCAGAAGGTCACCAACATCACAGCAAGAGCCAAAAAGATTGGGCATGGCATGTGCGCCCCTTTACCTGGTCTGCATTCATTTACATGGTGCGATTATACATCATCAATTGTAAAAGCTGGGAAAGGAAGACCATTCACACTTGTGGAGGAGAGTCAGGTGTTCGGGAAGGCTTTTGCCGGTTTAGCTGAACCAGACATCACTGAAACAGTGGCCTCCCTGGAGTAATTTACATGCGCATTGTACTGCTTCCCGTCCGAAAGCAGCATTGACATAGCAAGAAGGAAGCAATTTGAGAAAGCCTTCGGGCCACGAGCAACATCAAGAACTCCCTGTGGGCAGACGCAGACCAACCCTTCACTGAACAGTAACCTCATGAAGGATGGGAGGTCGTGGATGGATGATATGAAATTGTCTGCCCGAAGATCTCTGTCCTGAAGGCAACACTGGAGATGACAATGAGGAGCTGGTCCTTTCACCAGAAGATGAAGTATCTGACTTTGAAGATTGATAATTCAACAACTCAGAATCTTCCTTTTGTTGGCAAATGCACCATCTATCAGCATAACAAAGATAAGTTGCATTAGTCCTAATGCAGTAAGCTTAAAAGACCTTTTATTTGTTCACGATGTTGCATGCAAACTGGATCACTTTTCCAAGTGAGATTTGTTACTTTAGGTTAAAACAAAGACAAAACTTGACAAAGCTAAGGGCATTCCCACTCAAAATGTTAATGAAGTGCTTATCATGTGTTCAAAGGCAACATGGTTATTTATCTATCTTGAGTAACCCTATCTTAGCTTTTTTTCCTTTCTTTAATTACCAACGATGTTCCTGGTCACACATAAGATTTATTTGCAACAAAACGATATATGGGTTCAAAAGGTCAATGAAGTGTGCTAAAACATAACAGTGTGCTCATCCCATTTTGTTTTCATTCCTCAGCTACAAATACTGTTCCCAGTCACTAGTAAAATTTATTTTGTCACAAAAACGGCATTTGTGCTCAAAATGTTAAGTTAAGGAAAGTACTATTTATATGCTAATGAGCATCATCGCCAATTAGCTGTCTTAAGTAACCTTATCCAAGTCCTTTCCATTCTTAAGTTTCAAATACTGAACCCTGCCACTCATCAAATTTATTTGTCACAAAAATGGCATTGTGCTCAAAATGCTAATGAATGTGCTATTTATATGCTAATGAGCATCATCGCTAATCAGCTGTCTTAAGTAACCTTATCCAAGTTTTTTTTTTCATTTTTAAGTAACTAACATTGAATTTGGTCACTGATGTCAGTAATTTGACGTATGAATGATGCTTCTGCTCAAAATGTTAATTAAACCGCTAATTTCCTGCTAATTAATCGTTCTTAATTACCTTTGTCCGACTTTCATGTTTTCTTAAGTGATATTTTGAGCATCCATGGGTCAATCACAACATTTTTATCCTAAAACGGCACTTGTGCATCAGATGTTAAGTAAACTCAAATATTTTGAATTTGTAAGGAGGTCATGTGACCCACATCCGACCAATGGGAACTTAAGAAATGTCATTCTAGCATGATCCCACAACATGCAATGACATGGCACCATCAAAGCTTTTGTGCTTAAATTGATAATGAAAATTTACCCAGCTCTCAGTCTAAAACCCTGCTAAAGAGATATAGGTGCCACAATCAAAGAAATGTCCGTGCAGTGCTATTACCGCTACAGAGATTAGAAAGAACAGGACCATAAACAAAATTATTTATACGTACAATGATTTGATTGGGAAAAATTGGTTTTTAACCCTTTTCAAACAGTTTCTACGCATGTAACATAAAACTATTACATGTAATTGTTTCATTGTTGTAGCTGACTTGACCATATAACTTCAGAGGGTTTTCGCTTCGGTACAAATTCGACGCAAGACGACTAAAACCTAGGGTAGCAGAGACCATTTATTGTTTGACAGCGATTTAAGAAGTTTCAAGAAGACCTTCCTTGTCATCGTGATGGAAATGCTCACTTCCTCCGGTTTCGACAACGCCTGTCTGATTAGAAAATGCCAGCTGTCCTTCGGCCGTCTGCATCCCAGCTCCGACGGACCCAGTCGGTGGGGCCTGGCCCGGCATAGTGACAACCACCTGCCGGGGAGCGACGCCGGCCGGCTGAGGAGTGACATTCACAGGCTGCGGCGCTTGAACAGCAGGACCTCGAACGGGTTGGGGAGCGTAAGTATTTCCTTGGGGGAAGTTAGCAACTTGCTGTGTAGGGGCCACATTGTAATTGGTCGCATACAGCGGACCAGCCGAGGTTCCTGTCATGATTCAAAAGAACAGGATAAATCTAATCAAACTTCATTCACTTGTTTAAAATAGCTGTGGGGATTTGGTGATGATACATTCCCTCTTTAATATGATCATCCAGTTCGCTTCTCTAATACGGTAGGTTACCTCTGCAAGATTCCCCGCACTGCCTTGTGAATGGTTTCCGTGCGCCGCAAGAAAATAAACCCAAACCTCTTGATTTTTGTATTGTTTCTGTGGTGATTCCATAATGTGTGGCAATTTTGTTTTTTTTTAATGCAACTGAGTCACTTTCATGTGGCTTTAATTCACAGTAGGCTCCTTATTAGTTTACTTGTGTTTATATAAACAAAGCGCAGAAATACATGAGTTCGCTAAAAGCTTGTCCTCCTGTCGCGATGCTTTGGAAGAGTTCAGACGATCATCTCAGTTTGAAGGAAACGAGGAGAAAGCTAATCTTGACTATTTTAGTTATAAAGTGCAGACAAGCGGGAGTTCCGAGGTATTAAGTAATTGGCAAAAATAAACCTCCAAAGAACCATCGTGGCCTGTGAGTGGACTGACCTTTTCTCTCTCTACCATCAAAACGCAGGCTAACTTCAGAGTTACTTTTCGACAGAGCAGTCACCGTTTTGTGTATGACACTTAACTGGCATTAGTTCCGCATTCAATGCTTACGATGACGTGGGTGGGACCCATCTATCAACTCTCCACTACCTTGCTTTTTTATGTCCACAAAACATCCGCAAGGAAATTGGCGGCTTCTGCAAGCATTTCATGCTGTATTCTTTTCAGAAAATCTCCCCGGGGGGCGTCCTATGTCCAAAAATGTTTCAATACATTCCAAATCCTATTATGTTAAAGTGAAAAGACTTGCAGTTTGAACAAAGACACCTTTTTTTTTTACAGTTTTGTAGTTATACTTCAATAACAAACTTCATGAACAAGCATCCTTCCAATACATAGCCCATAACGTCCACAGGGGAAATTTGTTGTGAAGTTCTGATATTCCCAAAGATCTATTGATTTAATCGACGCTAAATTTACATACTTGTTTGAAGTCTGGTGTCCAGACACACATTTCTTAGAAATGAAACAGCACATAAATGTCCCAACAGTGTCCCGTATTACACATGCATCCCGTGGAAATTGGGGCTTGGTGCAAAACGGCTAAATATTAACAAGTGATGTATAGCTGACACCAATCCTTCCTTTTCCGAGCTGATTCCACAAAGCCTCGATTCTAAGCAAAGTTCGAGCCCGCTTTTGTCCCAAGTCCAGCTTAAGTCTGAGTCCCAATAGTCGAGTCCTAGCAAAGTCTGAGTCCGGTCCTGAAGTGGTTGTTACGGGAACTTAAAATCAATAGTAGAATGATGGTAAGATCAAGGAGACCTCAAAATTGAGTAAATGTTTCACCTAGGACGCGTGTGCAGCGTCTTACCAAGTACTAAGCCACATGAAAAGTCGACTCGAGTCCGTGTTGAGTCCTCCGCTGAAGTCCATAGCCTAAAAAAAATTGGATGGTCCTCTGACAGTTGATTTTTGTCTCAATATCACAGAGTCTTTGTCAGTCTGCTATGAAGAAGTTGGTGCTTCTGGTTCATAACGTGGCACCGTTGCATTGACCTTGTGCGGTCACCTCTGCACTAGAGTGCATGTACTGGATGGGCCTGGATGACACCTACCTCTAGCGGCAGCAGGTATCTGCATTGGCTGTTGCTGGAATTGCTGCGGTGCATTCATCCCAGCAAACCGGATGCCCGGAACCTGCTGTTGCATGGTTGTCATGGATACAAACTGTGCATTGGCTGGTTGAGGCACGTACTGCACCTATAAATTTAAAAGAGGAGTATTCCAAAATCAAAAACTGTGAGCAATAAAATCTAAAGGTCTGGTGTTTGGCGCGATTGGTTAGCCAATTGCAGGATGGTTCGTTATAGACGAGCTGATCGGCCTCGTTGCCATAAAAATATGCACATTATTGGCTTAAAGTTCATTTTAGGATTTTGGAAACGCTTGGGAATTCATGAAAAAATTGACAAGCCTAGTGGACATTTATTGGTTTCACTAGGAAAGCTTTGAAGACCACATACCGTAACTGGGGTGTAGGAGTTGCAGCAGGAGCAGACGCCATAGCAGGACATAGAGGCAGTCACGATGCTGATAACCATCTCAGCCAGGCCGAGTATGGCCAACAGCGAATCAACAGCTTGTCGGGGTGCCTGTTCAATCCACAACGGAGATCGATTCAGGTGAAAGCAAAAGAAGCAGTCAAACCGAAACAGAAACCCAAACCAAACCCCAAACCCTTTAATTGCATTATGACATAGGCCTATCGTCTGTTGCGAATTGCTCGCCCAACACCCCAGAATAAATACAGAACCAGCCAAGGATCAGAGGACGACCCTGACAAGCTAGGTGGTCCAGTGCACTCAAGAGATGTCAACACTGTGGGCAGGCAAACTATTTAAAGAAATATTAAAAGCAAACGAAGTGCACATCAGGAAAGTAGTGAAGACGACGTACGCGATTGACTTGCCCCAAGTTAACAGAAGAGTTTCCGCTCTCCAAAAAGCAGTTCTAGAGGTTTTTTGCATTTGGATATTTTTCCTAATTTAGAGAAGAATAGTACCGAAATTGGTCTAAATTCAGGTTAAAAGTGTTCAGGGCAATACAAAATGAGTTTTTTCCGGGGTTTTAACCAGACGAAAGAGTAGGATTTGGGGAATACCTCTAGAAGACACCCCATGACACGTCTGGGTGTGTGGGAAAACGCAAATTAATCTGAAATTGGTGGGACATGGTCCCCAATCTCGATAGGTGACTAGAAAATCATGCCCATTTACCGGTCTAACAATACACGACAGATCATGCGACTGCCTGGGATCAGGTATACAATAGTAACTGAGTTCATTAGCGATCGCGATGGCAGAGACAATCAGCAACTGGCAAGCTGCCACTGCTGTGAGTATGGACATCACCATCACTGCAATGACCTGGAACGAAAATAAAAATGACAAATCATTATATTTATTCGGCCGAAGGGGTATTGATGCCAAGTCAAGTAACAGTGACTGCATTCCAAGTCATTATACAGTACTTCTTTCAGTCGATACCCGCTGGCAATCTACCAGCGCAAGGTGTCTGGGGCTGTCTTGTAATCCCTGAATAACAATAATGTAGCGCTTCTAATAAAGGTGAGCAACGACCGTCTATAGGTCTAGGTATATGTTTATATGTTCTTACTGGCAAGTATCGTTACAATAAAGCAGCGACGAGGATTCAGGGTGGGTAACTTAAGAGAAAAGGATCAAAACAATATTTTATGCTATTCTACTCATAATGAGCAATTAAGGTCTCGGATCAACTGGCAAAGAGCCCAAAACGTAGCTATACACACGAAAACATCCTTGCCCAAAGTAAAGAAGTAAGCAACTTCCTTGCAACGGAGGCTCCTTCGGTGGGAACAACTTCGCTTGTTCGCAAACGACTATATGAAAAGCAAGCATTACGGTCGCGTCGCTGCCAACAAAATGAGCACTCCCTACCAACATGGCTCTTTTCAACCAATGACGGGTTGTTTCTGGCCAAGGCAGATAGTCTAGCAAGCAGCAACACTTTCGTAAGAGCTATAATCTTCAAAAGATTCAAAATGCTATTTGCTGGAATGGAAACAATTATATCTTACCATGCATTTGTTGTTCTTTCGATACACAGCACCCACACCCAGAATTCCAGTCAAGAGGAAAAACTATTGAGACAAACAGACCAAATTGGAACAAAATATTTCATCTAACGACGCCACCACAAAGAATATTCAGCCTGTCTGTGAAATAGTTTATAAGCTAAAAATTCTTAAAATCCAGCAAAGTTATAGCAACTTTCTTCTGTTTCATAGTTTTCCGTTAACACGGAGAAACATAATCATTATCAATACGTCTTTTGATTCTTTACGAAATTTTATTTATATCAAAATAAGAACTGTCAGGAAATACAAATCTGTAAATTCACGGATTTATTTTAAAAGAATGTTTTATTTGTTCTGTCGCTTTTCCGGACAGTAATATGAATGATTCCGTGAATAAAAGGAAAAACTTTGCGTGATTTATTTTCAGAAAATTGAAGCTTTCTTTCCAAATAATAACACAAAAACATTTGGGAAAATGTCTATTAAGGAGAGCCTCAATGATAACTAAAAGAATATATAAGACAATACACATGTACAATGTATTATGACAATCTACAGCGGCGCAAGAAAAGCAAAAAATGAACAATCAGAAATAAAAATGGGTCATATTCAAAATACACGTATGCCAATCAATCCCATTTCTAACCAAATTATTTCAATACTAGGTAATATAATTGATGTATTATGTGTCCAAATATGTCACAAAGCGTACAGTGATGTACATGTAGTTTCTTACAAAGTCGTATTATCAAAACCATAGCGAGGAATTGCTCGAGAAATACTCGCAACACCAACTTTCTGCAGTGCAGAGGGCTCAATATTGACCTGAGTGACGGAGATCCCCTGTCAGCAACATCGACTGATTTCCAACCCCACTCTCAACTTCAACTTACACACGAAAAACTCAATCGCCGTAACTCACCACAAGTCCACTCCAGATTCCCCATCCGGCATACGAAAAACTGCAGCGGAGCACTATGGCAACGATCCCCAAGAGGGTAGTCAGACTTCCCAGCACGATATGGACTACTGATAATCCTGTCAGTCCAGGAACCCTCTTATAGGGCGTGTTGGAGCTTGGGCTAGTTCTCAGTGGCTGGCCAGACTGCTGCGTGATCACACCGGGCTGACTGATCGGAGTCATGATGATCGGCTGGAAAAAAGTTTCCCAAAACGCATTTGAACAGTGCAAAATATACATTTAAGGCATCTGAAGGGATACAAATGTGATGTGATCCGCAAAACCCTTCACATGGTGCGCTTTATCATTTTGGGGCATATCAACTTAAATTGATCGGGACACTCTCCTATTTTCAAAACTGTTAAATTTAGGATTCTAGTCAATCTAGATTCATGTTGTAGACAACCTATAATCATAAATGAAATTTGTCTGAAAACAAGAGCGAGTCCGTGTTAATTGGAAGTTAATTGGAAGCACCCAAACGACAAAGCTCACCATGTGGAGGCTTTTCGCAGATCACATCACTGTCAGGCATGAAATGCCCCGATCAATAATACATTTCCTCAGTTTATCTGTTGACATCGTTCAATGCAAATCGCGGCGAGTCGACAATTTTTGTCAGTAAACTTGCAAAATGGAAATCGCCTTTTCGTGACAACCTCTTGTACACTTGAAGAGTCCGCATTCCATACGGTCGACATGCGGATAAGGTCAATTCATTGAAGAGTCATGTAGTTTCATATATCACACTAAACGAAACCAGGGCGAAGGGAAAAATAGTAACAAAATTATACAAAATACTTAACTATAAAATGTTAAATATCAGTTGGCTCTTTTGTGCAAATATCGGGCAATCTATACTGTTCAGCGACATGTCCACGACTTGTATTACTTAATCATTAGACAGGAGCCGTGACAGATTGATGTAAAATTGATGTAATGATACAATGGGCATCATACATATACTGTCGTGCTAAAATCCAAATGTTTTCCTGTTTGCAGCGTGCAAGTAATGCTTGAACAGACTTGCAGAATGTGCGATTTATCGAGGAATTGTTTGAAAAATCTAAAGTGCACCAAATGCAAAACAAATTTCATACAATAAAACAAAATCAGCCAGGCGCCAAATTCCTATATAAGAAACCGAATAACATTAAATGTATTTTGAACTGACCTAAATAGTCTGCTCTCTAAATAGGAAAGAGTGAAATTAGGGACAAGACGTTTTAGAGTGAAAATCACTCTGAATCTAGACTGAAAAAGCATGAAATAGCCCCTTGCAGTGGAAGCTCGAGTGAAATTTCAATCTTTTGGAGTGAAGAAATTTCACTCCAATTTGTCTGGTCCTTAATTTCAATCGGAGGGATTGAATTTTTACTCAAATAGAGTGAATTTTCACTCTTTGGAATTTAGAGAGTGGGTCCTGATAGAAGCTCAGGTTGAACATGTCAATGGAAGGCATCTCCCCAAACAACTACAGACATTAACGACCGGTGGGTCGGTCGTTTCATACCGACCATCTCACCAAGAGAACCCCCCTATCAGTTTAAGCCTTACCGTGCAATTACAAATCATTTATAGAAACACTGTGGGAACCCAAAACACTTCAACACGTCCACTATAAGATTTATACATGTCCTTAACATGTCACTCCAGCCCCCACAAACATTGTTACGGTAGATTACAAACTGAATTTGATTATACGAACAACCAAACATGTCAGATATCTTGGCCACGCTCGCTAAATTTGGCACGCTCCACATTAATTACCATAAAACATGAACCCTCTGGCTCCGTACATTATATGTTACAAAGTCATTACCAGGCTAGATAAGTCTCAGGGCATACTCATTCTCGTAACGTTAAACCACAGGTGCAGAGAAAACTACATACCGAATCACCGCGCTGCACACATCGAACCACCCGCATTCCATGCGTACACGAGCGAACATGTCATACATGTACGACTGCTGTCCACGGCTTGAATTTTGTACAGATAATTTGGTCTATTTGCACGTAAAATACGGCATATAGGAGCATGAGACTATTAAACAAATATGGTTGCATACGCGCCCCTAAAAACAGTGCAAAATTCTGAAAGAAACAGCGCTGCCTGGTGACTGACTCTCAAGGAAATGAAAGCTTGGGCTCCTGCTTTTTTTAAATTCACAATTATGGCCAGACGTTCGCTTTTCGTTTCCACTAGGTTTAGCCACAGGAATTTGTTTATTCCCTCTTCGCCGAAAACACCCCCTAAATAGTAGTAAAATTTGCGCTCATGCAGCTCTCAATGTAGCCATCCGCGTGCAAAATAGGCCCACAGGTGGGAGGTTTTTGTGAACGAAATACAACGAGTTGGACGCCAGACGTACCAAATTCGTGATAAACAAAAATATCTCTATGACCGCTCCCTATTTAGGCACCTCTTACTCTAAAACTTCATTCGGATCACATAATATTAATGAGCTAGCGCGTAGAAATCTACCAATTTAGTGGAATGCACCCAGCTACAGAGGCCTTTATGTACTCACGGCATAAATGCCAAACATATACTACACAAAGCAAGAACTGTCTTAGAGTCTGAAAGGACTCCTCACGGCGCGCTGCCGGAACCCTTGAATAGAAAAAATAACGTGCAGAAACCTTAGAATTTATAATTTTTTTCCTTCAGTTACTTCTTTAATTAAAAACCCAACTCGGAAAAAGGGCTTTGGAAAGTATTTGCTAGTATATTAATTTACAGAAACAGAACAATTACCTGACGTTTAAGAGAAAGATCCTGCCAAAAGTTTATCCATCACTTCCAGGAATCTAAAATACACGAAAAACCGTGCAACGCGGCAGCCTCGTACTGATGTGAAGATGAAAATTTATGGTTTGAAATTTCAAGATAAAAACAGATCAAAATATTTTACAATTTTACACACTTTTTTTAATTTATAAGGTAATAAACTTAAAGTAGTAATCTACTTTTACGAAAAACTCAAATATTTTAACTAACATTTGCTAACAAGAAGTGCGTCATGTCAACTCAGTAGAATCTCCTTCAAATGTACGTAGGTAAATCTTTGCAACGTTGTACAATCTCGTTTTCACGTAGGCACAGAGAATGAAAACAAATGTGCACGAACAAGGATACCTACATTGTAGGTACAATTCCGCGGGAAGTAAAAGGTCGTTAATGAAATTCTTTTTTACCCATCTCCAGGTGACTTTTCCATTACTTTAGGAAAACAAAAGTTAAAATTCCAACATAGGTGTTTCATAAGGGTGGTTTCAGTTAGGAGTCATTCGTTCAAAATTTACCGAACGAGGACGGCCCCTAGTAAAATCCCCACAGGTGGACCGCATGAAGGTTCCGGAAGCTCGCTGCGTGACCTGGCACTTTCATGAAGGCTCTATTAAAATTTAGAGTACAACCGTTCAGCCTGTCGTGACCAGACCACCGTTCTGCCATGCATACACATATCAAAATCATCAAAATGGCCTAAGCCGGTTTTTGTACATATTTGTATTAACCGCTTTCCTCAGGGTTTTATCTTGGATTGGACACCCTGTACATCACACAGGGTCACAGCTAACGACGCGCAGAGCATTGTGGGTAGATTTCTGCAAGGCGTGCGAGCTCGCTCAATGTGTTACACAAGCGGCTGTTATCAATTCGATTTTTTTCCTTTCTTCCTCACTGCTGAAAACATGCTCACTACACTTCAGTCGTTTATCCACAATTAATCAGGATAAACAATGATTTAAAATATACCGCCAAAGACACGTGCTCAACGATACTTCGTGAGAAGATAAATTACCCCACTGTTATTGTATCAAGGCCATGTTTTTATCATACAGCCGACACTTTGCCCGTTTCAAAGCATTGCCATTGGTGAACCCAAAAATTAAAATAACGCTTCGCGAACAGGAAACGGTAACCTCGCGGTCACAGGTGGTCACAATGTAGCCAATCACAGAGCAAAGCGACCAGCCCTTCCCAGCGCCCTATTCGAGTGCTGGGTGACGAGCGAAGAATTTCACCCGGAAAGGTAATTTTTCTAAATTTGTAGAACGAGTGATAAGCCTAAGCAGCGTTGATTCTCGCTAAAATGTAACTAAATAATCAGTGTTCCTTTGCCTTTACGGTCAAAACAATAAAATTCTCTACCAGCAATTGAAACCTGTACAAATATTTGATGACGGGAACAACTACACTGTAAAAGATATTTGGACCTGTTGTTTAAAAAAACATGCTTCGATGACATGCACCTGTTTGGAATACCTGTAGTTGATTCAACTGTTAATATGGTGAGCTCTTCTGGGAAAGCCTAGACAATAGCGTGTAAAACGCCTTTTTGTACTCGCTCTAAGTTGTGTGAATGAGTGCAGAAAGTAAAGGACAGCACACGGAAGTTTGACGATAGCGCGCAGTTCTAATGCAGAGTAAGAAATTTTGGAGTTTGGCTTAACAAATCTTCCCACCAACCCAACGAGCCCAACGCTCTGTGTAGCAGTTGCAGATCGTATTCATTTCACAAAGTGTGTCTCATGCAGAATTGTCCAATCAATAACTCAGTAATGTTAACTCTCTTTGAACACTTTGTTCCATTGTCTGCTCACTTGATTTATTCTGGCTATTAGATTCACAGAATCACTGAGGTTCAAAGGTTCACGGATTATGTAGGACACGAAGTTCCCACAGATTACATCATCACTGACACTCACTAGCAGATATCACTGGCAGATCACAAACAGACACGTAAAAACTGCAACAAAGGAAAGCAAAACTAATCTTTAGAAAATACAAAAACTAATTGGACAAGTAAGTGAGAATAAGATACCTTCAAAGATCGAAAATATGAATCAGGAATAACTCTAATAACCCTTTAAAATGTGAGGTCAAGGTCATTTTAATAACAGTGAACTATACATGCTTTTGCACACAGTAATGATTATCAGGTCATGAAAATCTGGCCCAAATAATCGCCTGAAATCAAACCTTTATATTAGATTCTACAATAATCAAACTCTGTTTACCTCTATCCTCAGGTAATTAGTGAATTATACTGGCAAAAGTACAGATGGATGGTTTAGCACAAATGAGAAATGTCATCAGAAAAAGCTTAGACCATGTACCAGTAGTGGTGAAATGAAGAGAGCCCTCCTGAGACAGGGTTCAGACATTCTCATCTGCAGTTACACTCTGGCCAAGGGTACTATCCGGTGATGGGTATAGATTGGCCTCAGCATGCACATGTACCTGTAACTACACATATACATGGACATGCTCACCTGGATAGAGAGCACTCGGCATCATGTAGGAGAAAGCATAGCAGTACGCTTGTCCCTACGTTCCACGGGGTAGACTTGATAGAGGCCACGTAGAATTAGAATGAACATGTAGGCCTACAGTACGTATTTTTATGGGTCCTGAGCATCATGCATATACTTCGATCCCTCTGCCACTCCATGGCCGGACTAAATCCATTCTCACTCAACACGCACAACAATGATCACTGCATCACCAATATTCGTGACCTCTTTTTCAGTAATAACCCTCCCAATTTCCTCATCCTGGTTATTGGCCGCCATGTACATTATGTATAATCATGACGCGTGACTGCCAAACCGCCTATGCCTACCACACTGCAATTCACCATGTCATCAACGTGCGTGTGTTACATTCCAGTGAAGTTAACGAGAAAGTCTTCGCTTGGCCATACCTGACTCAGATAGTACGAAGTGAACATGAAACCCAGGGTATTCCTGCACAGTATCAGTGTCCTATTTACAGTGATTTTACTCACCGTGGATGAAAAGAGTGATGATTTCCCGCAGGCGGTTTACAATTTCATTCGCTAGTCTCTGAGTCCACCTTGCGAAAGTGCGTCGACCTAGTACGTCTGTCTGGCAGCTTCCATCCTAGACTGGTTCCTGGTCCCTTTTTTCATCGGCCCTCGAGCTTGCAATGTTCGGGAGCGGCAAATATATCCAGCAATTAGAAATGAGAACGAAGGGGTTCCCCTCCCAACATGTCTAATCGCAATACACACTCTAGACTATTGTTACCTAACACCCCCCCCCTTGAGATGTCTGAAAAGAATTCCTCAGATTCCAGTGAAACAATGACCAACGCAAAGCGGGGAGGGGTCCTCTCCTCGTATCTTAATAGCTTCATATATAGGCATTGGCAAGCGAAGGGGTAATAACACGGCTAGTGCTGAAGCAGACACGCTCAGGCTCTGATCCTCAAAATCAAATAGTCATGAAACATGTCACGTCATTACGAATTTTACTCAATCATCGAACTGCCAGACATTTTTTTGCTGATCTAAAATCCAGCGAACGGATGACAAAGTACAATGAACACATGTTCAGTACATCAGACAACGTAGAGAGTGACCAAAAAATTATTCCCACCTTCTATGAGCCTGTGTGAGTAGTATACTCAGACGGGTCGGAGTGTGATAACACTATGGATTTCAGCACCATGAATTTGCAGTTAATTTGGAGTTTCACTGTGAAATTGTTTTTTTACTGCAACTTCATGGCAGTTCATATGGTGAAAACACCGTGAAAATGCAGTGAGCCCATCTAGGGGGCCTTCCTCATTAACTTTGCGGTGGGGCTAATCCTTTAAATGCTTTACGGACCCATTATCTGAATCCCTCATAACAAGTACCATTACCTGTCTTCTTACTGTGGTGGAGACAGGTGTAAATGTGCACTGAACACCCCAATCACAATGTTCGCATCCTTGCAATGTACATGTAATCCCGGCCAGGTTGTTCAGACACTACATTATAGCTGTAGCTGAATGAGAACATTGTAGGGACTTCAGAAAAACGACTCCCCACAAATTATGTCACCTCACAGAAACACTTATTTCAATTTTCTGGCATATCTGTGATTTATATTTAATTTGCTTGAGTAGAGTTATACTCTGGAAATTCATAATTCCCATGGCCATTTATGATTACTCATCGACAATTAAACAACAGTCAGCACCGAGTGCACACTGTTATGCATGATGTTGGAGCAGAAAAGCCAAAAAGAATGTTGAAATTTGGGGGAAGACGCGGACTAGTGAAAATTCTGCTTATGGACTAGTAAAAGCCATCACTGCTGGTCCGG